TTTGTAGGTGACCAAATACTTATTTTCCACCATAATTTGCAAATAAATTCTTTCCCAATCAGCCAATGTGATTGTCTGGATTTTTTTTCTCATTTTGTCTCTCATAGTTGAGGTCTACCTATGATGCCAATTACAGGCCTCTCTCATCTTTTTAAGTGGGAGAACTTGCACAATTGGTGGCTGACTAAATACTTTTTTGCCCCACTGTATATATATATATATATATATATATATATATATATATATTGTCCAAGCAAATATATGTAAGATTAAGTATAAAAGTATCCCATCTCTGATAAATAATAAATAAAGTTCCAATATGCAGATAATAAAAACAAGATATATATGTGATTTTGCACACCCCTGACGCCCTGTAGCAGTATTTCTGTTTTAAAATATGTGTGCATGGACACATAGGATAACACTATTTAGCTTCTGAGAGCAGAACAAAATGCTGAAACAGCTTCTACAGTAGGAGCTTAAAAAAACGCTTGTGTGAATGGAGCCTAAAACCGGTACTTACACTGTTAAAAGGAACCAACTGGCCCGTACAATGACAATATTATTGATGTTTAAAAGCAAACTTTAAAGTGGTTGTAAAGCCTAAACATTTTTTGCCTTAATGCATTCCTTGAATTAAGGTAAAAAATTTTTTAGACATCAGTATTGGCCCCTCACCCCCCTTATACTTACCTGAGCCCTCATTCGATGCAGAGCTGTACACATCTGCAGCTCTTCTCTTCTTTAAACTTCCTAGTCTCACGGGTTTTGCTGAGGTAGTGCTAGCCATTGGCTCCTGCTGCTGTAAATCAAAGTCAGTGACAAAGGAGCAGGGAGCTGAGCCAAGTCCAGTTGTTTGTGTCTATAGACTCAGGCAGCAGGGCTCGGGAGCAAGCCGTTTTCCAATGGGGACACTCGCCAAAGAGGAGGCACCAGAAATGCCGGCGGGGGACCTGAGAAGAGGAGGTTCATTGACCCTGCACAGAGCATTTCTTACATTGCATTTGCAATTACTTTAATCCAGCAACAGGGTTCACAGAATGTCATTCCACTTGTTCTCTTCCAACTCTAACTTTTTAGTGAAAAGAGGCTTAATCATGGAGACAATCATTGAGTCTCCCTGATTAAGCCCTTTTTTTAAGTGAAATAATTTGGAGCAGAAGGATTGCCATGCTGTGAATCCTCTAGAAGGAATTAAGTTTGCTTTTAAACATTGGTGATGTTATGAGTGTGCAGCCCAGGTATTTCCCTCTACCATTGCAATTGCAGAGCAGAGGCACACTCTCACATGGGCACCTGTTGGTGGATGGAGAATCAAGGACTTTGGGGGGTGTTTTGGAGAGCGCATTCTTCATCTTTGGAGGTACATACACTAGTCACACATTAAAAAAAAAGGTTTAATGATGTGTTAATGAATAATGAGCTGTAATAATTTGTGTCTTTAATACCTGCTGGGAGCTCAGCTTTAATTTAAGCTGCCCCAGTTTCTGACCTTGTTTCAGGACTGCACTTTCTGTAATACAGACTGCATATGTGAAACAAGCAAATGCACACCAATTACAGTATGTGTTTCTCTTTCTTTTTAACCCATGAAATCATTTTACATCTTATTAAACTCATGCTAAAAATGATTCCATTCACTACCATGATCAATAAGGTTTATACAGCGCATTTCCCAGGAGGGGCCGCTGAGAATGACCCAGGTCTCCCTTACTTGTTCAGAGACTGCTCGGATGAGAAACCAGTTGCAAGCACACAGGCTCAGCCTAGGAAATGTGTTTTTGTAGATTTGTTGCGGTAATAGTACAGGAAAGAGAGATAAGGTCGCAGGATACTCCAAGAATGCCATCAAGTACAAGAGGACAGATTCCAAAGCACAAATTATTTAGCAGCAGTATTTGCTGGATGTAGAGGGGATAGCCAGCTAATCTGAGACTCTATATGAGCAGTCACTTTGTCCTGGAGCAGCCTTTGGCATTCAACCCCCAATGCATATGCACTCGGCTTCCATGCAACACTCTTCAGTGAGCAAGGGGTCTTTCTCGAGCCCAGCAACCTTAGGTAGTGCCCTAGACAAATGTCTTTAAGTCCAAGTTCTTCTGGGCCCTCAGCCAAGCACATGCTAAGACCTAGCAACAGCTCTTCAGTACACAGGCTGCCTCCCAGAGGCAGCAGCCCCAAGAGAAAACCCAGCTGAACAAGCCTCCTGAACATTTACCTTCTCTCCAGCCACTTTCTGGGTGCCCCCTCCTAGGAACTGGTGAGGCCCAGTAAATATTCATAACTCAGTGGCTGTCCCTCTTATTCAATTTCTGGAAGCTTTTTCCAGAAACAGACAAAAGTAATCGACCACCAAGCTTACTGAAACCTGACTTAGAAAATAGAGTAGAAAACTGAGTATAGCAGAGCCAAAAACAAAAGTTAGCCAGGGTGCTACATGTAGATTCTGTAAGAATAAAAAGGATGTGGGGCACTTAGCATTTTTACAGCCACATCAGGTGATTTTTGTAACACACCTCCCTTCCTTGTACAAAAAAATTATTTTAGTAATAATAATGAATATAATATTTCCCAAAAAAGGAAACAATGAAATGTGTAGTCTCCTTCTTACATTGGGGGCCAGTGGAAAAGTAGTCTGAAAGTGACGTCACCCAGCTTCCGATCCAACGTGTTGCGCCACAAGGTCACACAACTTTAGCTCTCCTTGAATAAGTCATGAGACCTTGTGAAGCAACACATTTGATCAGAAGCTGAGTGATATCACTTCCAGTGTGGAGCTGTGACCAGAAGTACTGTATATGTGTTTTCACACAATAAGCGCTGTACAGAATCTGAGACTCTTTTATATACTATGAGTTTCAATCTATCTGATTATTATATGTTTTTAATAAATGGTAATACACTATGGGAAGTATTCTGCTTGTGTCTTGAGCCTTTATCAGTGAACAGCCCATCTATAAGGACCACTCTTAAAGAGGGACTGCACCTCAATTGCTCAAGATTGCGAAAGTTATTCCTGTATTTGATGAATGGCCTCAGATGACATTGGGTAGCAAGCGCATTCTGACCTGTATCAATTTATGGGTCTAACATGGATTGAGAGAAGTTGGACCCACGATGTGTGAGACGGGGATTTACAAGGATATTTCCAATTTAGTAGTGGACTGTATATTTGGCATATTAGTATACACTTTAATGTTTTATTGTGCACTGATCTCACTTCATTCTTGCAATAACCCACTGTATTAGTAGGGCAGGCGGGTGTTTACAAATTGTTTTCTGTTTATTATTTTGCATTCTTTGTGGCATATTATTTTCCATTTAGCTGAAGCCCTGTAGATACATTTGATATCTTGTGTCTTACAATAGCAAGCTGTACTAGCAGGTTTTCGTTTGGTCCAGTAATTATTAATATTATCACATTTTTTAGAGGTGTTATTTGGCACTTAATATCACTTGTCTGACTATATATTTATTGTGGCTTTGTATTTTTGTATTTATTTAGCAGCACAACAGTGTTTTATATTACTTTATGTGTATGTATGAATATGAGTTAGGGACCTTTATTATTATTATTATACAGGATTTATATAGCGCCAACAGTTTGCTCAGCGCTTTACAATATAAAGGGAGACAATACAGCAACAATACAGTTCAATACAAGAAGGATAGGAGGTCCCTGCTCCTTGGAGCTTAAAAAATAGGAGACCTTAGATTGTAAGCTACTCCTGGGCAGGAACTGGTATGAATGCACAATATATACAGTATGTAAAATACTGCATAAATTGTCAGGACTATAGAAATGCCTGTAATAAGTAAATAAATACACTCACCTCCTCTCCAGTGATGTGCTGTCCTCAAGCTCCCTCGCCAATGCTGCCATCTCCTTTCCAGCTTTAGGATGTTCAACCATCTTGATTAGGAAGGGATTATGCAAATCCCACACATGCGGATGAAAGTTCATGCAACCAGCAGCTCAGCATATAATTTAAAACATTTGTGAGGAGGAAGGTAAGAATCCATTATTGCAGAGGAGATATACTGGGGGAGATTTGCTACTAACACGAAGCATGCAAAATCTGGTGCAGATCTGCATAGAAACCAATCAGCTTCCAGATTTTATCGTCAAAAACTTAATTGAACTTAATTGTTTTAGATAGGAATGTGGCAGTAGCAAATTGTTACAATGCCTGTCTGATCTTTTTTTCTTTATCTATGTCTTATTAGAGATTTTCTCTCACTTACTGTCCTGAAGGCACAACAGGAAGTAAAATGAAATTTCTTCAAACATGAAGAGACATCACCTCTTAAGTTAACAATATACATTACCAGGGGCGGACTGACAACTCATGGGGCCCCCGGGCAATAGGGGATCATGGGGCCTCTGTGTCCTTGCCCAAACTCAAAAAAGCCTATGAAAAAGGTACCAGGGGCATCTCATGGGGCCTCCTACTGACCCCGGGCCCTTGGGCAGTACCCGAGTTTCCAAATGGTCAGCCCGCCCCTGTACATTAAAATCTTTGTACAGTCTCCTTTAGATTTAACAAAATTATGGAACATGAGGATCTACCTAAACTATTACATGTGCATCTGATCAGACAGATCCATGCACTACACAGTTGTTATTAGATCAGAGAGACCATCTACCATCAGATTGTATGTATGTGGTGAGCTTTAGACAGTTTTCATTGGAACATTGACTTTACTTCTGGTGACAACTGTATACTTTACGGTTTCCCATCACTTTCTGTTCTGATAATAATGGTCACCAGGACAAATAGGATGAATTTCCCCAGTGGACACATAGTGCAGTGGAATCCCCAGAGAGGTTCTATCCATTCTCTGTTCTATCCAACACTTTTTAAAAAAAGGTTTGGTTCTACCTAATTCTTTAATATTTAGCATTTTTTGTTGTCCAGTATATTAGGCTTTTTCACTTTAGTGTACTGACAGATTGTTTCCTTACTGTTTTTTTTATTTACTTTACAGGCTGCTCATATATGGCTCATATATCTACAGAACAAAGTTTTGGTGATGCATTATCTTTGGTGAGAACCTGTCATTTAGTGACAATGCTAGAAAACTGTCTGTACAGAGCAAAGAGCACCAGACTACAGTGTTCCAAAGTCTTCTGGTTCCTAAGGAATTAACCACACGGGTGGCCCAAGAGGCACTGAGGTTGTCTCTTAATGAGCCCTGTGGACTACGAGGCTGTATTATATACGTGAATGTGGAAGGTAACAATAAACTAGTGGCACTGGACACAATTGTTTATGACTGCACAGTGGATCCTACATTTGAACTAAAGCTTGTTTTAAAGCAGGATACCCAAGGATGGGACTACTTGAGAGATTTTCTAGCAAACAGAACTTGCTTTCCAAGTCTTTTCACAACTATCATCAAACTCAGTCCTAAGTTTCAGCTCACAAAGAGAAGGTTGTATTTTTCAGTTATAGAAGCAGGAACGGAAGATTGTTAGTATATACGTGTGCTGTCATGTGGTCATTTTAACTTTCCACTGCTTATTTTCTAGAATATATATATATATATATATATATATATATATATATATAGTATCGTTCATATCAATACTATGACAAATGATGCATGCTTGTGGAGATTTTAAAGAAATATACTGTGGTACTGTGTTCATAAGTCAATCATGATGTTTTGTGTAATTTTACATTTATTAAGAGATTCAAGTAATTTGAATTTTGTGCTACCCCAACAGATACATCCAGTTCAATAACAAAAGTTTTTGCTTCCTGTATTGGTGGCAACCCATATACAGTATGTTTCAACAGAAAGACATTAATGGATTATCCACCATATTATATAATTTTCTTTACAGTGAAAAAAAAAAAAATATATATATATATATATATACATATTTAATTTCTTTTTTTTTTTAGAAAAAATTACAGAGTTATACTGCAATAATCTGGAATCTAACATTTCCAGCATTCTTGTCAATCTACTTATCTACTTTAAGCTCTTTATTAGCACAACAGGTATTATTTCATCACGATTCATACTGATGAAGTTCATGATTTTGCAATGCTGGCCTTAAAGCTGTTGTAAAGTAATTTTTTTCCCTAAAATAAAAAGAATGTTATACTTACCTGCTCTGTGCTATGGTATTGCACAGAGCAGCCCCTTACACCCTCTTCAGGGGTCTCCCATTGGCATTCTCTGCTCCTCCTGTTCTCAATGTACCTTCATAGCAGGCTGTGTGCTATAGGGGCACACGTCTGGATGTGTTCCCAAGCCAGGTTGTGTGTATCCATACATACACAAAGGGCAGCTCAGCCTCACCCTGCCCTGCCCCCTACTCCTGTTGCTTTCAGTGAAGCCTGTGAGAGCAGGAAAGGGGGAGAGAAGAAATGCAGCACAGATTGATGTAGGTGTTTAGTGGGGGGGACACAGCTACTGGAAGGTTTTTTACTTTAATACATAGAATGCATTAAGGTAAAAAAAATCTTTAGAATCTCTTTATTCATGCAATTAAGGCAAGGATTGACTGAAAGGCTTCAGAGTGTTGCAGGCAACGTTTTTGGTTTGTTTTAACAGACTGGAGGACATTTCTAAAAGAAAAAAAAATAAGCCAGGAGCTTGGCTTTAAATAATTTTAATAACCAATTCACAGAGGGATGGATATATCAATTCAATCTTGAGGTAGTATTAAAATTAAGGTCAATTTTGTCCACCTTGTTTTATCTCACAGCTAGAGAAGCAAAATCATTATCAGCCAAAATGTCTTTTAGTTTCTTTTAGAGAGGTTAACAGTAACAACCCTTGTCAAACTTTTATTTCATTGTTAGGGATGACACTAGGACACTAAATAGGAGGGTAAAATCCCCTAATGTAAAATTTCACAGAGGTTATAACCCTTCCCCCCTTCATGCAAAACTAAAAAAGAACATGTTTGCTGGAGATGGGCTTTAAAATGAATCCATTTTCATTTATCTTGTGTTTTTCATAAGTGAGACAACAAAACTGATTAGCCTTTAACATGAGCAATCTGGGGACCTCTTTTTGAAAGTGTGAGTTGCTTGGATGTTATACTTACAGTCTGACCTAAATACGTTCTGAATCACAAACCTAAAACAAGTACACAGATCAGAAAAGTGACAGTAAAGTCAGACAGCTTTGATCTGTATACTTGTTCTGCATCAGTGACTCAAAGGACTAAAGTAAAGGGTCTGTGTGACAGCCAGCTAGCATTTTCAGAAAGGAAAGTCACAATGGCAGCCTCTTATAGAATATACACATGATTTATCATGAAGCCAGTGAGTGATTCTTCTCCTGTTCTGTTTTAGTAAGGTCAAATTTCGTTTATAGTGCCTGATTTCTGTCTGAAAGGACATTACTGTCTCTGACAATCTTTGCTAAATTAAAGATGTACAGTCCCATCATCATAAAACAGAAAAAGCTTTGGAACTAACATGATGTATGTAATGAAATGCCAGGCGCTCAAACAGAATTACAGACCTGGTGTACTACAAGCACAGCCCCGGCCTCGAGCAGTAAGTAGCACTTCCCACATAACCATGCGCAACTGTGTTTAATGTATAACTAAAGGTAAAACCTGAGGGTCCACAAGAGATGCCCTTAACACCTCGGCGCCCCTCAGAAGCCGGGAGGCAGGGCGGGGTTTTAAGGTCATGTGATCGCCGTGATTTGCCGTCACAGCGGTCACATGATCGGGAAAGGTCCCGATCGAAAGAGGAGATCGGGACCTTTCCATGAGTACCGGACTTGTGGGCTGGGAGCGCGCAGGGCGTGTGCTCTCAGCACATATGTTTTTCTTAATTGCACACAAATGTGCAGCCACTCAGCGTCAAGGCCCAGACGCCAGGAGGCCGCAAATTTGCATGCGGCCGGCGTGAAGAAGTTAATTTGCAGAGATTTCCTTCCACCTGTTTGGCTATGGGACAGGAAGTGAAGGTACATATCCCCAATGGGACAAAAATGGCAAAAATAAATCTTACAGGGATTATAACCCTCCTTTACTCTATCCTAAAGGAAAAAAAAAGTTTTGCCTATAGTTCTACTTTAAGTATACATCAAGATCTGTCTATTGATGTAAACTTTATTGAACAGATCTGCATCGCAACATAATAAACTGCCAAATTTGCCCTTTATCCACTCAGTGTGTATGGCAACCTGGCCCTTTCAACCCTTGAAAAACCTCTTAAATCAGCGAGGTACAAATTGTGAACAAAGAGGATAACTAGTTTGCAAAGAGGAGTGGGAAAAGGCCACTTACGTCAAACCTGAATAACTATCCCTAAAGAAGAGGGAAGGCCTTTGACACCATTTGTCACCAACATATAATGCCAATTTAACATCTCTGGAGGATCTCAAAAGACTAGCACAAAGCAGACTGCTTTATGGAGCTCTTATTCATCAAGTTGCTAGGACTCGGATTTGAGCTGATGGCACATAATAATAATAATAAACATCTCTACCCCAATAATTGGACAACAGTTCAAACCTTTAGCCACGAAACTTGAAAAATTGCCACCAGACATCATGACACCATGGTGACTGGATTATGTAATTATAAAAAGAGTAGTTTCACAAACGTTTACACCTGCCATCATGGTCTTGGACAATCAACATCTGCCTTGACACATTTCATTGTGATTGGATTAAGATGACTGATTTGCCCATTTTACTATAAATGCTGGAGTTTCTTTGTGACACTGATTTGTGCTATTTGGATGAGTAATGAAATGTCTTCAGCATTACAGATAAGCCCAGTAAATGTGACAAACTACTACCAGTTCCTAGGTGGCAAAATGCATCAACTTGTTCGATTTCTTGTCTCTGTGTTCTTCATGCCATTTACTTCTGAGCTAGAATCTATGAGTGTTAAAACAAATACTGATACGGTTTATGAAGGTTATGTAAAATTAATGTCTTAAAAAGTTATATTTCTTCTACATTTTACTTGTTTACTTATTTTTACTGAAAAGCCCTTTCCTTTATCATTAAAGTAATATCTGTTTGTAAAAGTGTACTTGGAAAAGTCTGAGAGGACATATGCCAGAAAATCCATATGTTGCAAATCTATAAATATCAGTGAAAATGATCTGTCTGTAAAGACTCATCCAAACAGGGTGGACATTGTACACCATCAGAAGAAAGGTTTTCCCCAGAGCTTAGTGAATGCGGTGAAATTTCACTTCACAAAGAATACCAAATCATGGGCAAGGGGAATAATTGCATTTTTTTCTTGTACATGATTGGATGATGGAAGTCAGCAGAGCTTCAACTTGTTCATTAAGCTCTGGAAAAAGCTCTCTCCCTTGCAAAGTGAACAGCCTATATTATTTTATTAAATCGGCCCATGTGAGTCAACCTGACATAGGCATCTACATCCTCTTTCTCTGGCGTGCACTGTTCACTCCTTGTGCTAATATCATGTGTGCTAGATATAAACACTACATTAGCACCACACAAACCAAGTATTTGAGTTCAAAAATGATATTTATAGTTTGCCAACACATTGCTTGGCTATGGAAGCCATGCTTTTATTTTTTAATACACATCCTTTTTTCAGAAGCAAATAATTGATTTTATTTATGCTATTATTGTAAAATACTGGCCCATGCAGGTCATATGTCATATTTTTCTCAAAACTCAGCTCCATCTAAAATTATTTATTTAGTTTTGGATAAAACTGAAAAGGGTCTGAACCTCTGTCAACTGTTTGTTCTTTGAGTCACCAACATAGAAATGAATGTCAACACATTATATCTCAAGGGTGGGATGTGATTGTCTAAAGCCAGCCATAGACGGTTCAAATCTCAGCCAGTTCAGCAGGGACCGGCCAAGATTCAAACCATGTATGGGCAGGCTGAATGTACCCAGGTTGATAAATCGATCCCCCTGCCCGGAGAATACAATGGCTCCACGGGGAGATTACCCCATCAACACTGACTGTTTTGATGGGGGAATCGAGTGATTTTCTTTCCTGCAACCCATGTTTGCAGGAGAGGAAATTGCTCTGTCTATAGCTGGCTTTAAGCTAGCCATGCATGTTTTTTTTTTTCCGTCCAGTGGGCTGCTACATCCACACGAAAAAGGTGAGGGACATTGTAATTAAAGGAATACAACAGTGTTTGCTAGCACACTGACAGCCCATACACAAGTATACTCCAGGTACTTCTGGAACTTTTACTAAGATCTTTAAGCTACACATTTCTTAAGAAAACATAGTGAAATGGCTATGGGTATTTCAAGTCTTTGCAATTATTTTAATCCTAATAATCTTTTTTATAATTTTAATCATTATGTTCTCTGCATATACAATTATTTAGGTTCAATGAATTACAGTGAAGGAAACAAGTATTTGACCCCTTACTGATTTTGAATGTTTGCCCACTCACAAAGAAAGGATCAGTCTAAAAATCGAATGGTAGGTGTATTGTAAAAAAAAATTCAAAAGAAATGCACATCTAACAAATTATG